CATCTGGAAAAAGATTCATGTGCACCAAAAGAAAGTTGTCTGTATTTCATGTACACAGAAATGAACGGCAAGTACCCAAAGTATGCAGCATGCAAAAAGAAAAAAAGATTATTAAATGATAGGTTTCATGTTTTTAAGAATAAACCTTACATGTTTTCCTCTTCAGTAGTTTTTGTTCTATAAAAAGAACTGGATCTTTAAAGCTTGAATGGGATGCTCATCTTAATTTACTGCATTCTTCACCTGTGGTGTCCCCCAAGGCTCAACTCTCGGCCCACATCTGTTCTCCATAGACAAAGCTTACTTCTGTTTGGTTTCACTTTAAAGAAATAAAAAATATTATGGGATCTCTGCACTCCCAAAAAGTTTCAGATTTTAAATCACTGAAGAGATTAGCATGTTCATCCTATCAGATCTACTAATATTGGTTACTCCCAAATTATCACTGAGGCCAAGCAACTTGATGCTGTTAGATGAAGTGTAAACACAATGAAAGAAATGAGAATATTGGGCTTTTTGCTGTCACTAAACCTACATTTTCCCTACGTTAAATATTTTTTAAACCAGTTCTACCAATTTTTTTATCATTACCTTCTTGTCCCTTCCATTCTTTAGTCTTCTGTCCACTACGCCTCAGATGGTGACGTCCAGCTGGTATGGCTCTATTCAACGAAATGGGAGTCTAGCACCGGGGGTGGCCTCCGCCCAGCAGCCACCTCCTTCCACGGCCCCACTCCTGTTTGCCCAAGGAAACATTCAGAGTCACCATCATCACCATCACAACTACTACTCAACCCCACAGAACAACAACTACCAACATCATCAACATAGTAACTATTATTCCACGCCGCAGAATTACTACTGCGGATCGCAGACGTATTTCTGCACCCCACAAAATTAAATAGGAACCATTGAAGACTTTGGATAAGAAGATTACAAGTGATTTAATCTTTTTGTCCCGATTTTGCTTGTACAGCTGCATCAACCTCAGCACTTTTCGATTAAAAGTGCTGACCACACAACAGGCTTCAACAACTGTGTGAAAATGTGGCGATACAATAAAGCAAGAAAGTTGGAACTACAAGAATACCAGCTTTTTTGAGGTCTTCAGCACAGATGAGTAGCATTTAACCACCACCAAAAGGTGGAAAGCAGGAAAACTGAAAACATTTCTTTTGAATGCTTTGGTAAGGGTAAAATAGAGACTGGAAATATTTGTGGCCAGATAATCATTCCACTTTTAAATTTCAATGGTAAGGAAACATTGTCAGCCGCTAATTTGCTCATCCTAAAACTGTCAGTCAACAGTTCAGGCCATAGCAACACTGTTAAACAAAATTTGTCAGTCTTGTTTGAGGTATTGGCTCTTTTACAAACATTTTACAAAGTCTAAACACAGAGTTCTGGGTGTTCAGACTCGCATGACAGGAATTAGCTCATGCTAATTTGCCAATGCCTGCTGAAGTAGGAACCGTTAGCCGTGGTTGCAATAAGCCAAAAAAAAAAAAAAACAACAACCTCAAAATCAATTACAGAAATTATAACCTTGTATTATTGAAGTCAATTTTTTTTACTTTTATTAAACTGTGGTTGAGTTCTGTTGAAACACAAAGAGAGAGAAAAAAAATGCTGTTAGGAAATAGCTTATGCTAATTTACTGAAGCATGGAGAGTTAGCATTGCTAGCATAAAGTCTAAACTCTAAACTAAAAATTAAAAACTTTGTGTCACTTAAGTCAGGTTGTTACTTTCATCAAAAATGGGACTGAACTCAAAGAAAAAAAATGGAAAAAAATTGCCAGTGCTAGTTTGCTACTCACTGCTGTAGTCGGGAATGCTAGCTTTGCTAGCAAATTAGCCAGAAGAGAAAAAAAATGCTAGAAAAATAAAATTGACACACACAAAAAAAAAATAATAACGTTGCATCACTGAAGCCAATTTATTATTCTTACAAACTAGGCTTAAGTTCTGGGGCAAAACAAGTGCTAATATTCTGTTGCTAAAAGGAAAAAATGTAAAAAACTTAAAATAAAAACATATATGTAAAGTTTTGTTGTATTCAATTCATTGCTGTTTTCAACTTGATCTGAATTATTTTTGCAACAAGGAGGACAGTGTTAAAAAAAATCTCATAAGGAATTAGCCAATGCTAGCTTGACAGTAATTGGTGAATCCGGGATATTAGCACTGCTAGCATTTAGCAGAAGATTAAAATTATTTTAAGCTAAATTTAAAATAAAAACAATTGGTAATACTTTAACTGAATCCAGTTTATTCATGTTTATCAAATTGGAACAGAATTTTGTTGCAACATAAATTGAAAATTGTAAAAAATAAAAATAAAAATACTGCTAGCACATCAGAGGCTCAATCGCCCCTACATGGCTAATGGTTCCATGTGACTTATATAAGCTCTCATATTTGTTATCAGTGTGTGCTCCTTAGACTCCATAAATTTTTGTAAGATTTATATCTAGCTAGCTACCAGGTGTGATTTGGTGTTTGCTCTCATTGCCTGGTTTCCTCTGTTGACTGACAAAAAGTCATTTTCAGTTTTCTTGATTGATTACAACATGGATTCTTTAGTCACAGGAAAAGCATGAGACTGGGGGTGAATGTGAATCATTTCAAGGTGGCGAATGCTGTCTGTTTTCAGAAAGCATATGAAGTACAAGAAAGGAGGGATCTTTAAAACTTGTTCGTGACCAAAAGGATCTTTAATATGATCAGACTTTTTGTGAGCTGTGAGGCAGAAATTTGCACTTAGTGGAAGATCACCTTCAGAGAAAAAGGCTGTTGAGCCTGGAATGTAGGTTTTTCTTCTCATATCTTATATTTTCTTCTGTAATTGTATGTACTCTCTTCTATTTATCCTCCGAGGAAGAAAATGTCAATGTGCCATCACATTTTGTCATATCAGATAGTTGCATTCCTTAAAGAAAATATTTTTGCACAAGAATTAGTCAAAGGACGTATGCTTTTGTCTGCTTCCATGCCAATCAGTTTTATATGCGTGTTGTGATATTTTTATTGTAGGTGGTGTGCGTGTGTTTTCAATATTTGTCTTTGATGTTTAGTCAGCTTTTATACATCATTTTTATTTTCATCAGATTTTTTCTAACATATTTTGTAGCTTTATGTTTACCACATATTTCCTATGTTTTTGTCGTTTTCGCATCACAAGTTTTTTGAATTTTTTGACAGCCTGTTCTTTTTTTTTTTTTTTTTTTTTTGTGGTGTTGTTTACGACCCACTTCTTGAACCAAAATCACTGCGTCTGTGGTTAATTACTAAGAAATACTCGCTGATGTCAAGCAAACCTAAAGCCTGGTCTGAAAGTGTTTCTTATGCTGCTGTTTGCGCTTTGAGGTTCCAATGCTTCTATCACCGAGTTTATCGGACTTTAAAATCCAGTGAAGGAGCCAAAGTTCTCGTCGTTTGGGTCCAGCTCTTTAACAACTGTGCGAAATGCATGTTTCTGCGTCTGTGCGCATAATTTGCCACCGTTTCTCTAGCAAATCTGGTATTATTTGTGTGAAAGTGTTTTTAACCTGTCTGCTACAAAGAAACCGCAGTGATAATTCCCCTATCAGTTGTTTTATGGTATTGGTGGTTATATCCGTGGCCATACTGAATGTAACCAAATCACTAATGATGTATGCAAGAAAAGCACTACCATGTTTTAATAAAGGTCTACTGCACTGTTTAGACAATAGTAGTAAATATAAAATGTCAAACATAAACTGCAAATCAAACCGTTGCACAATGTCGTTATTGTTTCTGCTGCAGAGTTCGACTGGTGCCGACCTCTTCCCACCAGTATACAGTCTGTCATGTGGCAGATTTTATGGACTAATTAGATTAAGAGGATCATCGTAACCGAAACTGGACACGAGTCTGGAAGAGCATGACCAGGCAGGGTTGCTGTCCTACCTGCGTCAAGCTTTTCGCTGGAAAACACGTCTGATGTTGCTACAAATGAGAAGGAGTGAAGAATTTACTAAGAGCTCAAATTATTTGATAAATGGAAAGACATAGAAAGTACCATAGCAATGAAAAGATTGGCCCAGTCAAAGTCCATGATGAGAAAAATCATGATGGAAGGGTGACAATAACTTTTTGTACTTAAGTACATTCTTTAAAAAGACAGTTCAACGTGTACTTTTACTAGAATATCTTCTACTTGGAGGACATTAAATGTTGAAAGTTGACGCTTTGCATCAAAATAGTAATTTATTTTTGATTAGAAAATAAACATTTAACATCAAACTGGAATGAAAACAAACAATATAGGACAGATAATTAGACACAGGAAGTTTAACGTAAAGGACCCTGGTGATTCAGTGTGCGATCAAAAAGCTAATTAATGCTTTCCGGTTGTTACGGTACAATCTGAATGTTTATGACATGTAGTTGAAAAGAACCATTTTATTCTCCATTCTTATCATTCAGCCTTTTTAAGCCCCTAAATTTTATTTTCCCAGTGTGTGATAAGACTGTAAATCAAACAGATTACTTCACAAACCCTTCGCTGAAATACTGAGTGTTGAAAGCTACGACCCGATGAAAAATGGTTCCATAAAATACAAGTAGAAAATATTTAAGGCATCTCGGTCATCAGACCTTAGCATTACCAATCAAACAAGGCCCAAAACCCACAACCAAGAATAAAACATTTTCACAGTATTCCACTGCAAAAAAATGAATCTTACCAAGTATTTTTGGTCCAGTTTTTAGTGCAAATATCTTAATATACATGAAATAAGACAGAACTAACTTATAGTCTTTCTGCAAGATATAAGAGTTTGTTTTAAATCAACAATTAGTTAAAGTTCTATTTCCATTGGCAGATAAATTCACTTATAACAAGATATTTTCCCGCTTTATGAGTAAAATCTGCCAGTGGAACCAGAACTTTTTAATCAATATTAATGAATTATTGAGTTAAAACAAGCTCTTATATTTTTCTGAAAGGTTATAAGTTAGCTTTGTTTTATTTCAAGAGTACTAAGATATTTGCAATAAAAGCTCAACCAAAAATACTTGGTATGTTTTTGTATTTTTGCAGTGTGCAAATTTGATGCAAGGCACAGTGAACTGTACCGATAATGCCAAGATTATTGTCATTTAAAGTTCTTCTTCATCATCATCGCTGCTGCTGTCCCAAGATGTGAAGCTCGTCGATCCCCGACGCAGTAGCTTGCGCCTCTGTCAGGATTCCTCTCCGGCTTCCTGGTTGGTCACATGATGGTATCCCCTGTTGCTATTGGACTCCTTGTGTCGGCAAATGACTCCGAGGAGGACGGCGATGAGGGCGAGGAGCAGGCAGCCGGACAAGGCCAGGCCGATGATCACTTCTTTAAAACGAAAACAAGAAAGAAGAGAAAAGAAGTCAGGACCCAACAGAAGCTCATCGTCAGTGTTGACGGCGGCGGCGAGCGGGAATCTCACGTCTGTCTCTCCCCTTTGACGGCACCTGACACTCCTTGTCCCTGTCGTCTGAGATGAACGGCTTTGTGATCCTCACAAAGTCCTCTAGGGGGCAGACATGAGCACAACTTGGCAGCTGGACTGGGTACGGCTCCACGCTGGTGTCGTTGCGGTAAAACATCGACACGGACGCAGATCTAAATGGACACAGGAAATCAGTGCAAATAATCTCCTATTTGATGACATATAATCTCAAAAATAAAATACCAACCCATTGTTTTCCCTGTACAGTTCAATTATGTGGCAGGAGGCGTAAGGCGCCTGCTTCCCGTTGAACACATTCAAGCTGGCCTGAAGAGCAACTACAGTTGTGTCATGCTGTGAAGCAACCAGAAAAAACAACTTCAATCAATAAAGCTCATTCGTATTTCATGTCAGGCAGTTCAAAGAGATTTACATCGTAAAAATACAAAAATAAAAACATCAAACAGTCACCAACTGGGAATCTCGTAACTAACATGACATTTTGTTAAGAGCCATCATCAAAAACATCAAATATGTTGGTCACTGTTGCTGTGATTATTGGTTGAAAGCAACTCTAAACAGGTGGGTCTTTTCAGAAATCAGTGTTTCAACTGTTTTGCAGTTTTACGGAAGTTTGTTCCAGATTTATAGTGTATAGAAGCTGAATGCTTTAACTTCAGAGTTAAAAACCTAAATCGGTGTGGATCATCAGTATCTCACCGCTGAGAGCATCATCAGTTTTAACTGTTGTTGTGGGTGTGGGGCGGCCATCTTGGTGAGATTCTTCACAATCTCCCCCAGCAGGAGGCCTGGAAGAGAGACAGCAGCTCTCATTTTTCCATCAAGAGTGGAAACATGTTTTTATATGTTTGTGGAAAAATCCTCCACAAATCTGAAAACGTACGTACCTCCCTGCAGGCGACTCTTCTCTTGCTGTTTGTAAACCCCGAATAGGATCTGCAGACATTCAGCATTAATAACCATGTTAACATTCTTCAATATCATCAGAAATCTCAAAGAAAAGCCGAGATGATGCTGCAACTTCTACCTGAAATCCAAAGTCTTTCAGAAACCTGAGCTTCTCCATGACATCGGGAGTCACCCAGTCTGGAGCGGACATGTTGTGTCGGGACTGAGGACGTAAAGCAAACACACACAGTGATTAATAAATGTAAAACAGAGACGCCCTGAAGAGGCCAAGCAGGTTTGAGTGACTTTCTTTGTGTAGGTTTTGTTTAGACTGTCATGTTTTTGTATCGGTTGGAATAATTGCTAAAGGTGAACACCTAACAACAAAAAAAAAAATGACCCAAATTCAAAATAAAGGATATTTAAGATTAATAATTTCCATACCATAACATATTCATTCCCATGTTTAACAACTGACAGCATATTTTACCTTAATATGCTGCTTTGCATAATACATTTTTAAATGAATTTAGTCACATTTCTTTCTGTATTTTCTGGTTCTGTAACCAATAAAAAAAAGCTTAATATTGATTTAATTTTAAATTCTGGTTTTAAATTTTGTTTTTTGTGTGTCTTTTGAAATTTTTACCTCACAGAATAGTGTGTCGTACACAAGCCAAGCTGATAACACATTCGCTGCCTTCAGTCCTGTTTTATTTTTTACCATCTCTATGAAGTCCTAAAGAATTAGGGAGAAATTATTACTTTCCTCAGAAATTAATCCATTGTTTTTAATAGTGTAAAGAGGAGAAATGATGTACCTGGTATTTTGTTGTGACATTGATAAATTCTGCTGTGTTTTCAGTCTCATTCATCAGCTGTTCGTAGCGAGGACAGTCGTTCAAAGGAAATGAGAGCAGCTGAACAGAAAAATAAAAACACAAAATCAGGAATCTGCAGTTTCAGCAGGAGCATCGGATGAACCCCAAACACCAACCTTTTCTTCGTTTTGCGGTACCGTGTGGACCGGTATGGGCTGCCACTTTAAACTGGGTTGAAATATCTGCTGACCTTTAGGGGGGTAGAGGCCTACGTAAAAGAGAGACACGCTAAAGGTTAAGAATTACTTCATGAAAAAAGAAAAACAGGATCCAGTTGTTCAGACCTGCAAGGTTGGCTTCAGCACTCATCAGGGTGCGATCAACGTCTGTACTGCGAACTAAAATCTGGGGGAAGATGAGAAAACGTGTTCAGCTGTTTGCTAATTCTCAAGTGAGCTGGAATAAAGGTGGTGTTTCCACGTCTCACCTCGTGGCGGATGTAGGATTCATTGAGGAAGTCTTTGTACCGCGTCCGCAGATACTGACCCAGCTCATACTGCTGCCTCATCCCGACCTTTTAACACAAACCAGACATTTAGAACCATCAGAAATCTAATCAATATACTCATTTTAACTATAGTTCTAGAATCAGTAACTGGTTACATTTACTCACATTTACTTGAGGAACTATTCGAAAAAAGAAAATACTTTTTGGAGTATTTTTACTATTTTCACTTTTACTTGAGTAAAATTGATCCTCTACCCACAGTGAGTAACTTTGCTGAATGAAGAACAAGCTTGTTATAACCTGCAGTTTTTCCTCAAAGTTTCATAAACTTTATACTGAAAGAATTTGATCAGGATATTGTTTTTTTGTTATTCATTTGAATTATCTTCATTTTGATCCATAAAATACCCCAAAGTTCCACCAAATTTACATTATGGTCCATTTGATGATGTAATTTTTAAATATTAAATGATAGATGTTTTGATCAGGTACTCAGTACATGAGTTATCTTTTTACCAAATATTGGCTGCTTTTTACTTTTGTAAAAATATTTTGAAGTAGTGTTACTCTTACTTGAGTACAGATTTTGGATATGGTATCCATCTCTGGTTGCAGAGAGAGCAAAACTTAAAGCTACTTTACCTGTGATAGCTGTCCAAAGCCCTGAGGCCAGGCACTTTCTTGGTGAGGGTCAGTAGGATAGGCTTTCACCGGTGACCTGTCACCATGTCGAAACAACTGGAGGAAGGAGGAGAGGAAATAGGTCAGGCAACATGTAGACAGAAATAACAGGTATCATAGATCCATCATGGGATATATCTAAACAGGTTATTTCTGCTGATTTTAATTATTATGGCTCAAAGTTTTACGCTGTTCGGATTCAAATTAACCAAAATAAACACTTGTGGATCCAAACCAAAGAGCTAACGTGAAAGACGTCCTAACTGAAAATGCAGAGTCATCAAAATCATCAGCTGACACCTTTGTTCCACTTTTATCTGTGTCAGTAATGTCTTTACTAAAGTCAGCTGACTGCAGGAATTTCCAAGTATCTGCCAAAAGTTTGTATATCATTCAACAGCTTTACAACCATATTCTTTAAAACCAGTTTGCACAAGCCAAACAACCCTCCAAAAAGTAATATTTCCATTACAAACCAAGGGTTTTGTAATCATATCTCACTCTCCTTGCAGGCTCAATAGTCCAGTAAATCAGGTTAAAGTATTTTCTTTGACTTGGTATCACTACAACAGAGCTGACACTTCAAATAACATGGTTTCACTACTCAATTCTCAAACCACCACAGGGAAGTGCGGCTTGCCGGTTCGTCCCACATGAGATGACACCCCAAACCGATGCATCCATAACAGCCAAAAAAAAAGACAAACCAAGTGTGCAAACTCTATTTGTAGGCTGGATTATCCCCTTTTAGAGTCTTAATCTAGTTTGCTTCAGGTTTCACTGGAAACCTCTGAAACTAGGTGACAGTTTCTGAGAATGTGTATGGCCTTTTGACCTTGATAAGCAAAATTAGCAACACCTGTAAAATATATATATTTATGGGGAAAAATAGCATGTATTCATATTCTGTATTCATCTTCCCATCAACTCTGACATCCTCAATGAGGATGCATCTTTGCACAGTAAAATGTGACTAATCTCAAAGGAATTTCAGTCTGTTTTGTTAGGAAAATAAGGTAAAGTCGATAAGAATTGATTTGAATAGTTAACAACTGTATTCAGTTACCTTACATGCTACATTATTTTTTGTGAATATGTTAAAAACAGAAGTGAAGGATGGCAGACTATTAAAAAACAGGAAGTGACTTTACATTTAACAAAGGGAAGAAAAACATAATGCCAGCCAATAGCCGTTCAATAACTTCTGTCTTCCTGATTACATTGTGTTAGCTGAGCAGACTGTTCATATTACTTTAGGTCTCTTCAAAGGCATCTCACATTGTTCCAAATGTGTTAGCCTGAAATAAACACTACCGCTACTTAAAAGTCAATAAAACACATGATGTCTTAATATGTAGTGCAGCTTTAGAGAGGCTTGATGTTAGCTAGACCTATAAACCAAAATCTATGACATTATTAAAATCAACATAATCTACAATGGTTTATTTTCGAGCCGAATTAATAAGAGTAAATCAGACATTTAACAACATAAAAAAAGTTGCATAATTAACCAAGCACGTTGACATACGCGTAAATGAAAACAATATTTAACACATTTGGAAGGCAATTCTGTAGTGTTCAGCCATATCGGTGCAGGTATAAACAGTTTCCGTAGCGTCATAGCAAACATTACCAACACTCACCACTGTAGCATAAATTAGCTGTCTCTCAGCAAAAACTTGTCCACATGCAGAGGCCAAAGAGACGAGAAAGAGAGCCGACGTTGACACCATGTTTCCTCCGCTGGTGGTTCGACTCTGATACCGCCGCGCAGTGTTGGTTGACGGTTCTCCTTCCCTACTCAGACGTAGAGAAACGTAAACTAACCGTTACTATCATCTACTTCGGAAGAAAACGGAAATGACAGTAAAAACTAAAACATGTCACGTGAATAAATGGTAATTAAAAATCGTTTAACAAAATGCTTAATTAGCCAAATTATCAGCTACATGAAGGATTTCAACAAACATTTTAAGATCTTGCCCGATGAAAAATAATTATACTTTGCTTATCACCACTTACGTTTTGAAAAGAAACAAACCGGAAGTGTCTTATTTGTCTTCCGCTTTCCTTTCCACTTTAAGAGTTTGACAAGTATGTTGGAGGTAAATCTCTCAGTATATAATAGAAATATTATTTAATTTTATATTTACGAATTTAATATTATTTGGAAATTTAATAATAATTATTATTAATATAACATTTATAAAATTTTATATTATTCAATCTCCCGATTATCAGACATTAAAAGTGTCTGAAAACCCCAGCAACTAGCAAGAATATTTCACGGTCTATTTATTTGTTTTACCTATTGGCTCCACGAAAGCATCAATACATTTTTAAGTATTAGTAAAAGTGTGGGGGTGTTGTGTAGCTGGTGCTCTGAGCAAGCCTATTTAAAACTTATTTTTTTAAGAGCGGTATTTGTGATGCTATAACATGCAGTCAAGACAATATTCATCCATTCATTTTCTTTACACCCTTGTCCCTCAGTGGGGTCGGGAGGGTTGCTGGTGCCTCTCCAGCTATCGTTCCGGGCGAGAGGCGGGGTCACCCCGGACAGGTCGCCAGTCTGTCACAGGGCAACACAGAGACAAACAACCACGCATACACACACTCACACCTAGGGGCAATTTGGAGAGGCCAATTAATCTGACAGTCATGTTTTTGGACTGTGGGAGGAAACCAGTGTACCCGGAGAAAACCCATGCATGCACAGGGAGAACATGCAAACTCCATGCAGAAAGACCGGGGCCGGGAATCGAACCCAGAACCTTCTTGCTGCAAGGCAACAGCGCCACTGTGCAGCCCTCAAGACAATATATTTATCTAAAAAAATAAAAATAAAATAAGTTTTAGATATATAGATATATTTTTATTATCACTTTAATTGTTAGCGTTATCACAATAAATCATAAAATACAGGATACAATTTTAAAATTCATATTGGCCCTAACTCCAATATCGCTCTCATTATTGAGTGGATTTTTTTTTTTTTAATAAAATGTGTTTTCTGTTTTTTTGCCCCTAGATGTCAGTATTGCTACAAGCAAAAGTCCGGATGATGGGTAAGCTTTTTTGATTCTGTTTTTTCTAAATTAACTCCTGTGCAAAACAACAAGAAAAAAACGAGCAGGAGTAAAACTTAAATCAATAATACTGTTACAGAGGGCAATACTGATGGGGAATAGTCAGGATTAACCTTAATCTGGTGAATAGATATGGTTGTTGCTTTTTAGGAAGCTAACAGACCCCACTACTCTAACACCTTGGAGTTGTTCATTTAAAACAAATAACTTTGTTTAAGACAAAAATAACTTCTCAAAAGTCCACTGTAGTCAGTTCTGCTTTTCTGTATATAAGCCAAAGTTTGTCACGACAATATCCCCACTTTTGATTCCCGTCAAGGATCAACTTAATAAAAACTTTGTGCTTTTAGAAGATACATAACTGTGATTATAAGAAATAAAAATCTTGTAATAAACATAAAAAAAAAAAACTCAAGAAAAATTAATCCTTAAAATAAATGAACACACTTCAGAATTAATGGCAAAAATGATTAATTCAATATATGTAGATTACACATAGTAAAATAAGTTGATGATTACATCCATAACAAATCCTCCCACTGGGGTTTAGACTTGTACATAATAAACGGAATGTAACTAAGCAACAAAAAAATCATCTTCTTCATTGTCATCTGGAAGTTTCATCACCTGCAGCATTCAATAAAGGATAAGTGGTCATCTGATGTGTTACTGCTCAGTCAATGGATTTCTCCATCAGCCCTCTTACACATGGAATCAATCGACATCCATTAAGTGCCATAAATTGCAAACAACCAGAGCTGTTAGTATATATCAGTGACGTGCGGTCAGGGGAGGCAGGTGAGGCAGAGCCTCACCTGTCATCATGGAAAAATAATATGATAAAACCATTTATTTTCACCCTGTGGTTTGTACTATAAAGTATCTATTTTTTTTTATTTTGCTTAACCAATTCTGATTATTTTTGTCTTCAAAATCGCTGGAACCAAAACACACCGAACTGCGCAGCCCATGTTAAGGAGGTCAATAACAGGCTAGCAGCAGTTAGGTTAGCATAACTGGCTCACTTTCTCAATAATTTCTTTCAATTTTTTTTCCTCACCTGTTAAATGTGAAACCCTTGGACCTTGTTATCCATGGCTGTCATAGTGTTGAATTAACCGCTACACCTTTTTCCAGATTATTTGCGCGATTGTGGTATTTTCTTGATATTCCTGGCTCAATGGACAGCAATGGCGCACGATAAGTCATGTAATGTCCCATCCGGTAATATATATCAATACTTCTGTCTTCCGCTCTATCCTTGCAGCTTCTCTCAAACGTCCCGCTACTCAGGAGTAGGTGTCAGGTTATACTGTGTTCCACTCAATGTTGCTGGTAAAAAGAGGTTCATGCTCTTAAAGTCCGATTTGCCATGGCTATTTCTTGGATTCATAGTTGGGGAGGCAACAACAACCCTCTGGAGGTGTTCCTTCGAAGAGTATGCAGCGACTGGCAGGGACCAAGCCAATGCTGACCAGCACTGACGTGTCGGTGACGAGCAGGATCTTGCACGGCCCCAGCTGCTTATATTTCATCGGGAAGTCTTTGATCAGCACCCACTGGCCAGGCTGGAAGTTATGGAAAGGACCTGCTGCTGGGGTCGGCAGTGCTGCCTCCACTTTCTGATGAGAGAAAGAGAGAGAGAGACTTACCTTTTGCAATAACTTAACATGTCATTTTCCAGCAAATTAGTTGTTAATAAATGTGGTTTGTGGGTGGGTTCAACTCCCATCGAGGCTGGTCTTGTGCTGCATTTAAGATTGCCAGGGAGTTTGATTCCAGCACCTCATTAAGTGAACAAACAGCATATACCACTTGGTATATCCTCCCAAATTTTGATCGAGAGCAGGAGCCATCCACAAACAAAACCAATGAAGATTAGTAAGAGAGAAAGGTCAGGTCTAGGTGAGCAGGTCTAGTCCAGCACGTCAGAGCAACAATGTGGTTCCCCATCCTCTGCTGTTGGCAAAAGAGTAGCAGGATTCAAAGTTGTGCATCGTTTAACTGTAATAAATAAAACAGTAAAGATAAATAAAATCTAATAAAACAGTAGAGTAACGAAGCCAATGAGCGAAAGATAAATGAGATGTTTTCTGTTCTAACAGAATGATGGAGACCCTACAATGCCACGTCTGGTTTCTGCATCTGTGACCTTTCACAGAACAGTTCAAATAAAGTTCAAGATGACAAAAAACTTCTCAAAAATTCCCTGTAATCAATTCAACTTTAATGTAAATACGCCAAAGTTTGTCACAACGTCTGTCTCTCCCCTTTGACGGCACCTGACACTCCTTGTCCCTGTCGTCTGAGATGAACGGTTTTGTGATCCTCACAAAGTCCTCTAGGGGGCAGACATGAGCACAACCTGGCAGCTGGACTGGGTACGGCTCCACGCCGGTGTCGTTGCGGTAAAACATCGACACGGACGCAGATCTAAATGGACACAGGAAATCAGTGCAAATAATCTCCTATTTGATGACATATAATCTCAAAAATAAAATACCAACCCATCGTCTTCCCTGTACAGTTCAATTATGTGGCAGGAGGCGTAAGGCGCCTGCTTTCCGTTGAACACATTCAAGCTGGCCTGAAGAGCAACTACAGTTGTGTCATGCTGTGAAGCAACCAGAAAAAACAACTTCAATCAATAAAGCTCATTTGTATTTCATGTCAGGCAGTTCAAAGAGATTTACATCGTAAAAATACAAAAATAAAAACATCAAACAGTCACCAACTGGGAATCTGGTAACTAACATGACATTTTGTTAAGAGCCATCACCAAAAACATCAAATATGTTGGTCACTGTTGCTGTGATTATTGGTTGAAAGCAACTCTAAACAGGTGGGTCTTTTCAGAAATCAGTGTTTCAACTGTTTTGCAGTTTTATGGAAGTTTGTTCCAGATTTATAGTGTATAGAAGCTGAATGCTTTAACTTCAGAGTTAAAAACCTAAATCGCTGTGAATCATCAGTATCTCACCGCTGAGAGCATCATCAGTTTTAACTGTTGTTGTGGGTGTGAGGCGGCCATCTTGGTGAGGTTCTTCACAATCTCCCCCAGCAGGAGGCCTGGAAGAGAGACAGCAGCTCTCATTTTTCCATCAAGAGTGGAAACATGTTTTTATATGGTTGTGGAAAAATCCTCCACAAATCTGAAAACGTCCATACCTCCCTGCAGGCGACTCTTCTCTTGCTGTTTGTAAACCCCGAATAAGAGCTGCAGACATTCAGCATTAATAACCATGTTAACCTTCTTCAATATCATCAGAAATCTCAAAGAAAAGCCAAGATGTTGGTGCAACTTCTACCTGAAATCCAAAGTCTGTCAGAAACCTGAGCTTCTCCATGACGTCGGGAGTCACCCAGTCTGGAGCGGACATGTTGTGTCGGGACTGAGGACGTAAAGCAAACACACACAGTGATTAATAAATGTAAAACAGAGACGCCCTGAAGAGGCCAAGCAGGTTTGAGTGACTTTGTTTGTGTAGGTTTTGTTTAGACTGTCATGTTTTTGTATCGGTTGGAATAATTGCTAAAGGTGAACACCTAACAACAAAAAAAAAAATGACCCAAATTCAAAATAAAGGATATTTAAGATTAATAATTTCCATACCATAACATATTCATTCCCATGTTTAACAACTGACAGCATATTTTACCTTAATATGCTGCTTTGCATAATACATTTTTAAATGAATTTAGTCACATTTCTTTCTGTATTTTCTGGTTCTGTAACCAATAAAAAAAAAGC